AAATTAAAGGTTTTTATTTAATATGTTCTGAAAATAGTCTATTAATGGCATACGAGCACCAATCCCTTCTTGTCCTACCAAATTATTTACGTTTTCATTTTCTGGGTCTTCGTCTATATTGCCCTCAAATAATTCTTCTTTCTGGTCGACCGATATATTGTGAAGCACAGCGCAAGCCACAATAACCATTTGGGCAAATTCGGTTTTGCATCTAATGCCAGTAGATAAAATTGCAAATCGTCTTTTCCAAACTCCAAAGAGACGCTCTACTGTGTTGCGAGTTCTTATTTGTGCTTCATTATATAAGTGTTCTACCTCATTATGGGGTTCATCTAATAGGGTGAGTACATAGGGTTTTAAAGCGTAGCCTCGGTCAGCCAGTAAAACCCCGTTCCCCATCTCCCCATTTTGGAATCGCCTTTTAATAGCTGAATTGTCAAATATGTGGCTGTCGTTGGCCGACCCTGGCCAACGACTTACCAAATCTATAATTTTTAATTTGGCGCTACATACTATTTGATAATTCAAACTAAAAAAACCTTTGCGGTTGCGGTAGACTGCATTGTCACCTCCAGGAGACAGAATTTTGATATGGGTGCAATCCATTGCTCCTATTATTCTAGGAAAACGGGATATCATGAAGAAATCCCGTTGTGCTTCCCTTTGCTCTTCCTCTGTTCGAGGAAGATACACGTACTGTGGGAATATACCGCACAGAGCAGTAACTACTTGTTTTATAATTCGGCCTGTAGTAGTTTTATGAATACCAACAAAATCTCCTATGGCGATATAGAAATCGCCTGTTGCCAAAAAACGCAGCGTAAGAAGAACTTTATCCAAGGAACTAAGAGCACGACTTAAGTTCCTGAAATAGAACAGTATTTATTAATATTAAAATATATTTGGGACTCACACATTAGAATAGCATTAATTTGCTAACCTTCGCCATTGCACTGCCGTGGATTATTCTTTTTTTCTCTCCCGATTTAAATATTTTTCTTATGATTATGTTTTTTGGTATATATATGTAGACTTTTTTATTTTTATTTATTTTATTTTATTAAATTTGACACTTCAATAATATTTTTATTAAATTTGACACTTCAATAATATCTAAGTAAAACAAAAATATTATTGAATAATTATTATTAAAAATCCAATGAAATATTAAAACAAACTGTATTGAGTGACTAGACGAAATATATTGATTTCTTTTAGTTTTAAATTAGGTACAAACGTGAAGCTAATAATAAATAACTCGGCTGTCCCAAGGAGAAACCCATTGCAGTATATCCATTTTTTTGTAAATACCGTATGATCGAGAAAAAACGGCGTCCAGTTGGCTGGATAGAAAGCTAAAAAGTAAATTTATTTTTCTTTTTAAGAAACTAAGACGCTATCTACAAAAATGTTGTCAAGTTCCTCCACTGGATTAAAAAGCTTCATAAAGACTCAAAAAAAAATTAATAAAACCACAAGATTAACAAGATCACTGGACATTTCTAATAGTCTATTCATTCCGTGACATTTTTATCATGATCTATCTATTGCAATCGTAACAAATTATATTTGCAGCAAAATAACGAAGATACATACTAAAAAAACAGTATCTTAAATGTGATCGGTATAACAAAGAAACTTTTACTCTTAATTTCTCACAAAAACATTTTTATCATATACAGTGTTCTTCCCTGGGACAGCAGAGCTATGTGAGAAACACCCATGTGATGAAAACAAATTTATTTATTGACCATTATATACTACCAATATATATCGTATGATCGAAAATAAACGGCGTCCAGTTGGCTTGTAAATGACGATTGATAATATTCCCAATATAAATTTACATATACAAAATGGAAATGATCTTTATTTCAAAGCCATCACTGACGCCGTTTTTTTTTCGATCATATTGTAAAAAGTAAAGTTTGTATTTGAACCATCCCTTCTAAAGTGAATTGAGAAAAATAATAAAACTTTACAATTAAAAATATAATACTTACCATTCAGTTCGATTGCGAAGATCTTCCTCAATCAAACTTAAAATGTATATAACGGTTGGTTTTGAAAACCGAAACCGATCGAAAAAATCTTTGTCATTCCAATAATTAAAGTGGTCTCGGTCTTATATTATATTGTCTGTTTGGGTATAATTCCTCAACTAAATTAATTAGCTCCTCTTCTGAGTCATATAAAAAGTCAAACAAATCCGTAGTCTAAAAATTTGAGTAGAGATTTGATAGGTAATTATTGTAAATTGATGGTTTATTAACCAAGTAGTAGGTATAAGACAAAATAATATAGTCTACCAGATTCTTTGTTTAATTCAAGTATATTGCTCATATAAGGAGAAAGCGCATTAAGGCGGTCGCGGTGCCGTCTCTTCTCGATCAGAGAATCGACGATCTATCCTATAACTACCGAACCGATTGATTATGTTGAAACTCTAGAAAATATATATAATAAGGCTCCAGATCGCCGTGCTACGAGACCGCGCCCATCTAATGCGTTTCCGCCATTATAGAGTAAAATTTGTGAAAAAAAATTGAAAAAACATTTGTTAAGTACGTATATAATATTTTACGCCCTTGCGATTGCATAATACTATATATAAAGAATAATTTATTAAATTTATACTTACCCTGTGAGAATATTCCACTATGATTCCACTAATATAACACAAACTTAGTATTTTTTATAATGATCAAATACAAATAAAAATAATTAAATGTCAAATAAAATCAATCCATTTAATTCGCCATTAATAAAACTATTTATTGCAGATCATAGTTTGTAGTCCATTTAACGAACCACTTTAAATCACGTCACAATGTGGACGAAAATTGCATATAATCGCGCTTGGTGTTACTCATAATGTAATTTAAAGTGGTTCATAAAATACATCTTTTCTTTCAAGAAAATCTAATGGCTCTTAAAACATTTCGTTATTTTAGGATGACAATGATAACAATTATTAGTGAGGAAGTTAACTCGGAAAATACAGGGAACAGTGCCAAAGTCTCGGAGGTAGTGGTAGACGAAGACCATGATTACACATCAAAAAGTTTGTCATCGGTAAGTTCATAGGTACATGATTTGCATTCTAGTCAATGTCTTCAGAAAGCTAAAAAGTAAAATTATTTTTCTTTTTAAGAAACTAAGACGCTATCTACAAAAATGTTGTCAAGTTCCTCCACTGGATTAAAAAGCTTCATAAAGACTCAAAAAAAAATTAATAAAACCACAAGATTAACAAGATCACTGGACATTTCTAATAGTCTATTCATTCCGTGGATCAGCGAAATGAAATTTTGAATAATTACTACACAGAAAAAATAAATTATTTAAAAAAAACTTGAAATGAAGAAAAAAACTTTATCAGTATTAACTGAAATTAAAACTATTTTGAAAAATACTCATAGTTCCAACTAAGATAATACAATTTTTTTTATGTTTTTTTTGGATGTTTATTTTATAGAGACTATTTTCAGGTTAATTATCCCAGATATTGCCACCGTTCTTTTAAAAGACACATTACAGGTTTCCTATTTACTGAAACACCACTATTTAATCATTGATGGCGCCACTAGTATGATTTAAGCAGTAATAATCAGTTCGTGTTTTAACCGTCCGTTTTCGTGATTTCGATCAACTTTAGTGAAAAATTGATTTTATATTTGCTATAATAAATTGTGATATGACATGGATACTAGAAGGTATGTACAATTTGTCCTGTTTTACTTCTAATTGCAAAATATGTTTTCAAAGCTGACAAAAATAGGTATAAATTAAATGTAGAAATAGGAGTGGGGTTATAATAAATGACGCCAAACAAATTGTACGCCTAATAACTCGCCTGTTCTTTTAAAAGAACAGTGGCAAAATCAACTCTATTCGACTATTTTTTCTATTAGGTACTGGAATAAGCCTCTGACGTTACATGAATTACTAGAGGAAGTTGAGGCTTTAGATAAAGACCGACACAATAATATCATCATATTTCCTCCAGAGAACGGAAATGACGATAACACCGATGAGGACTATGGGGACGAAGAGAACGTGCAAATGTGTAATCTTCCAGGGCGTCAGTTACGTGCCGAAGCTGAAGTTTCGCAGGACGATACCGGAGAAGCTAGTGTCTCTGTAATAACAGACACTTCGGATATAGTGAAGATGACTTGCCATTCTCCACTTTTGGGTCAAGGATTATTGGAAGCAGAGTCCTAAAGAAAACACGAACTTATAAATGGGATAATAAAGATATCGACTGCGATATGCCTTCTTTCCTTCCAACATACGGACCAAGACAGCTCTACACTCCTCTTGATGCCTATTTTTGATAATGAAGTCATCGGGATGCTGGTAAAGTACTCAAATATGTATGCTAGTAGTATACATAACCGTACTGGAGATATTACTGACGACGAGATTCGCTGTTTTTTGGGTGTTTTGCTACTCAGTGGCTATGCTTCCCACCCAAGAAGGTCGATGTATTGGGAAAATTCTCGAGACACTAATAGTATCTTGGTTTGTGAAGCGATATCTAGAAATAGGTTTAATTTTATAATGCAAAATATTCATTGTTGTAATAATGCTGACTTACCCGCTAATATTAAATTTGCCAAACTACCACCTCTTTTTGATGTCCTCAGTAAAAAATTTATAGATATGTCACCATGTGAAGAGTCGCACAGCGTCGATGAATCGATGGTACCCTATTTTGGGTATCATGGTTCGAAACAATTTATCAAAAGAAAACCAATTAAATGGGCTATAAATTGTGGGTGGGAACAACTGTTGCAGGGTATATTGAATGGTTTGAACCCTATCAGGGTTCAACCACCGTTCTTTCGGGTAGGTATAAAGATCTTGGCCTAGGTGTAACAGTGGTGCTAGAATTTGCAGAAGTACTTCAAAAAAAGTACACTAAGGCTGTCCCTTTTCATTTATTTTTCGATAACTTTTTTACATCCCTTCATTTACTCGAAGAGCTCAAAAATATGGGTCTGAAAGGTACGGGCACAGTAAAAGAAAATCGCGACGCTAAAGACCCTCCTTTATCTCACTCCTCAGTGTTGAAGAAAAAGGAAAGCGGTACATTAGAATTTGTATCTTCTGATACGAATTCTATAATTTTATGCAAGTGGTGTGATAATAGCGTGGTAACTATTGCTTCAAATCACACCAAAATAATGTCCACCCTCCCAGTAAAAAGATTTTCCCAGAAAGAGAAAAAACGATTTACGTACCGCAACCACATGTAATAAAAAAGTATAATGAAAACATGGGTGAGGTTGACAGATCGGATCAAAATATTAGCCTCTATCGAACTCAAATAAGAGGTAAAAAGTGGTATTTTCCACTAATATCTCACTGTCTAGACATGGCCCAACAAAATGCTTGGTAGATATATAGAATTGAAGGCGGAAAAAAGATCATCTAAGATTTAGACAATCAGTGGCAACTTCAATTTTGGAGACATATAAAAAAACAACAAAAAGAGGTCCTAGCCGTCAGTCCCCACATCTTCATGAAACATCTAGATATGATAGACTAGATCATTTGGTTGTGTATCAGAAAAAACAGACCTAATGTAATGTATGTCATAAAAATTGTAATTTTTTTGTCAAAAATGTTCCATTACTTTGCACCTTAAAAATTGCATTCTTAGCTATCATACGTTATAATTTTTTCGTTTAAAAATATATATGTAACATAATAAACCCTATCTTCAAAATTTGTTTGTTTTTCTTTCAAATAGTAATATTTTGCAACCTTTCTTTTAAAAGAACACCGGTTTTAGAAAAAACACAATGGTAAAATTTACCTAAAATATCAATTTTTGTTTATCCTTAGGACTAAAATTTAAAATCTGAATAAATTTTTCGAAAAATAAAGTTTTGGCAGTATCTGGGTTATGCAAATACGTTCAGTTTAGTTAACAGTTTTGTTTTTTATAAGTTTATTATAAAATAATTATTATTAAGCCAATGTGTTTTTTATTTATAGACTAATGTTGATTTTTTTACAAAATATATGATGTTATTGATGAAAACCGATTTTTTTTGTAATCTTTGGAATTTAGAATAAAATAGCTAATCAATTAAAACACCTTTCCAAATATTATTACATCATAATTTAATATATTATTACAAGTTACAAAAAAAAATAGGCTGCAAAATGAATGTTGATGATTTGTCGTTGTACATTTCTAGCAGCGAGTAGGTCAGCAGTAGCATACTCTCCATTTTCCTGTTGATCAATATGAAGAATTCCATAATCTAAATCAGCCTCATCTTCGGGTACTGGCAAGTCCACATTTCTTGAAATGCACATATTGTGCAATACACAACAGGCCTTAATTATGCGTCCTGCCATCTCTGGAGAGTAGTGCAGTACCCTATGTTTGAGTAAACATCGCCATCTATTTTTTAACACTCCATTACATCTCTCGATGATGCTTCTTGTCCTTTTAAAAACTATGTTGAACCTATCTTCAGGAGAGTACCTGGAATAGTATTCCTTAAAGATGTTAAGAGTCAAGAACGAAGGGGATAACCTGAAATGAAGGCTTGTAAAATAAAAAAATGGCGTTTTTTAATACCGACAGGTACCTGAATCTCCCAACACACTATGGTTTCTAGAAGCTAATTTTTTGGCCAAAATACATATTTTAGACCCACTGTATATGGACTTTTGTTGTAAGTGGAATGCAAGCAGATATACAAATGAAGAAGACCACATGCATATATTTTTGTTTAGTTTTAATTTTTATTCCTTATCAGCATTTATATTTAGACTATTCAGTTGTTTATTTTCGGAAGAGTTTTGGTGTATATTAAGTGATATATTTCAGTGGGATATAAAAACGGATTACTGTTATTTTTACACTTTATGGTATGTATTTTTAAGAAATCACTAACAATTGCACATAAGAATCAGCGTCCATTATTTTTTAATTAATTAAAAATAATGAGTTTAAGACAGAACATAAATAAAAAGTTAAAAGTTTAGTTTGACTTATAAAAAATTCTCCATGTTTCTCCATGCTAGATGTTATTGTAAAATTTGAAACAATCCTTTGTGAACATATCAAAGAAAAAATTGGCTGCTACTAGCTGCAACTTTTTTTTTAAATATTTTTTTTTCTCCTATGTATCGATTGAAAAAAATTGATATTTTGGAAAAATGGCTACAAGGGGCCAATAAAGTCGAGAAAAACGGATATGTTTCAAATTTTGTGAGACAGAAATTTCAGAATAATGAACAAGGACTATCAGGTACAATGAAAAAAAGATAAATCGCCTTTGTATAAATTTTGAAAGAAGATGGCAGGCGGCTTCGCGGCTTAAAGATTTATTTTTAAAACAAAATAAAGACTGGTTAAAGGAGGATTTTATCCTTGAGTTAAATGAACCCCTTCCATCCACATCATCTGCCGGCCGCCCACTATTACCTTTTTCGGAGCAATCTTCCAGAGCCCAGAGAAGAACGGCCTCAAAAGTTTCCGAGGAACATAGGCAGGATTGGGCTCTACTTGTGCAGGCTGCTTTGTAAATTTAGTTATCCTGCCGATATACTTAACCTACTTCGTGTACCTGACTAACTACGAGGAGGAAGAGCAAGAAGAAAAAATGCAAAAAGAAGAAGAGCAAGAAGATATTTCTAAAGAAGATTGTTTTGAACAGCAGTAATTTGATGATTGATCAAATTTCTTTTTTGGAACTAGATACAGAAGATGCTTCATAGGTAAAAGTTAATCGCACGTTGAATGAGAAGATTAAAAATAACTTCATTTTAAGGTTATGTTACTTATTAACAATTTATATTCTGTTTTCCCAAAAGAAGTCAGAAACACGATTGCGTACATTTCTCGCGAGAATAGACGAACTGTTATTTTGTCTGCCTGTATGATTAGAAGAATCTGCAGTACCCATATTGGTGTCACAATTATCGTCACCGACATTTCCTTCTAAATCTCGTAGAATATTATGCAGTAGGCATGTAGTTTTTATAATCAGACAAGCATGTTGTTCATTTGTTTCAATAGCTTTGCCCAAAATACGCCACTTTGCAGTACTATATTCCAAAAGCGCATTCAACGCATTTTCGTGCACATTTTCATGCATCTAAATTTCTTGATGGAAAAGGTCGCATTATATTTGTTTTTAAAGGATATGCTTCGTCAACGATAAATACATATGGCAAAGAAGTTGCTGTGCCTGGTATTATGTCAGGGGGAGGTATATCTAATACACCGTTTTCCATCAGCTTATTGAAATTTGAATAGTGAAAAGTCCCTCCATCACTCTGTTTCCCTTTTCCTCCTACTTCAATAATAATAAACTTTTTATTTGCATCTGCCACTGCTTGCAGTATTATTGAAAAATATTGCTTATAATTATAAAATGTAGAGCCTGAATTAGCTGGGCATTTTATCCTACAGTGTTTGCCATCAATCGCCCCCAAGCGCATTGGGAATTGCCACAGCCTGTAATATTCATCTGCTATTTTTTTCAAGTCTTCTCTGGTTGGGTGTGGCATGTGTGAATTAACCAATTCCTGCCATATTGCTTCACATGTTGCATACACAATATTGGCGATAGTCGTTTTTCCCATACGAAAACTGAAAGCCAACGATCGAAATGACATCCCAGTAGCAAGAAATCTGAAAATAAGTTAAAATAATTAGACTGATTTATACTAAAGAATAAAAAAAATAACAATCTCATAAAAATATTCGAGTTTATTTATCAGTATATTTTTTTGTTTACAGAAGACACATTAAAAAAGCGATGGAAACATCTCAAAGATCAATTTAGGAAGGAGCTAAAGAAAAAACCAATTTTAAGATCAGGGGCTGAATCGGAAGCATGGCAGTCAACTTGGCAGTATTTTAATTTGATGAGTTTTATGAAAGATGAAGTCATCCCATCACCAACTACGGGTAATTTAGAGAGCAACAATCCATCAAATAGCCAAACCAATATCCAAGATTCTCAGGACAGTCAAGCTACTGAAGATGGTAATGAGTTGCTCGATTTGGATTCGGATACGCATTCTTCCGTGACATCTCCGCCGTCACAACCATCTTCCTCAACACCATCATTTTCTCTTTTGTCTAAGAGAAAACCTCACTTGAAAGACGATTTGCTTGAGATTGAAAGGAGAAAAAAACTCCAACTTATGGAGGAACGGTTATCTGACAGCCAAAATGAGGACAGCTTGAATAAGGACGAAGATTTTTTGTTTTTAAAAAGCATTTTACCTTCAATGAAAAAATTAACCCATATACAGAAGCTCCAGTTTCGCGGTAAAATAAATGATTGGCTAATAGAGACTCTTACCCAAAACGCGAGTCAGTTAATAATAATTATTACCCAAATCAGACCTTCTTCCATCAGCCAGGAACAAGTAATTTCTACCCACAAGGAGATACTATATAGATCAAAGTATGTAAACGTTAAGAATAAATCATTATTTCTGCATTAAAAGTTTCATTTATACTTACCGAAGAGTCACTATTAATTCTTCTGCTGGTGTTATTGAATCTGCTATATGAAAATTAGTACTGGTAAGTATCAAGCTAGTTTCAATTTTTTCCAATATATAATCAAAGGTTGAGAAATACATTCTTGTATACCGAAATTTGTGTTCATTCAATCTCAAAGTTTCAAACAGTGTATGAAATTCTCCAAATCTTTTTCTCTGTCTCACAATATCACTAGGACCTTCTCTAATAAGGTCAAATTTCAAAAATGAGTTTTCTTCCAAGTACATATCAATGTCATCATAAGATGCCATGACGACTCTGTTGTTTTTCGCTCGAACGCTGTCTGTTTACTGAGGACACGTCTGCACGCTTTTAACTCAAGCGCGTTTAAAACGCGGCACACGCCGCAGTACGCTTTTTCACTCAGGTCTTGGACTAAGAGGTATAGGATAGGGCTGTATCATCGGTGCACTTGGAAGGGACAATGCCACATTTTCTTTTTGAATGTAAAACCTGGTGAAAAATGGAACTGCTGTTGAACTGCTCCATTCTACATTATTATTTTTTCTTTGATACTGAAACATTTGGTACGTCGAAATACTAAACTTATTAAACTTATTAAAATAAGACTTAAAATGTGTTGCAAAATCCATTATTATATCCTGATTGATGTTTATTACTTTAAACTTTCTTGACGTTGAACGTACCAGAGCTTTCCACTCATCATTAGTATGTACCCTTTCTTTGCGTCTTTTAGCCTTTTCGATTATAGCAAATGATCGGTCGCATGGCAAGAAGCTATGCCCAGGCTCTGGATACTGATGGATGATATTCAAACTACTTCATTACTCCCTTTTTTCGACGTGACTTCGTCATACATATAAAAAATAGAAGTTTCACTTTTTACAGAGTGTACCCAAAGTTATACACCCAGAGTTGTCGCTTATAAAGACGTCGCCAGCGGGAACATGGGGTAATGGCAAATTCTGCTCATAGTCAAAACATAGCACTTTGACAGAGGGATCATTCAAAGCTATTCCCGACTTTTCTTTTAATGAAGTATAAAACACTTCAGATTTACGTATGTGTAGCTCTTTCTCAGCTTGCAAGGAGGCTTTATTTTATTTCGACGATCTGCTCCGCATTAATCATGTTTTGCAGACGATCACATTTCTGACATGTATCAGACCTTGGTGAGCCAAAACTTATATTAAAGTTGTGCAAAAAATAACGATGATAATAATCATAAGTTACTTGTGGTTTGCTTTCATTGCTGTCTTGCATTTCTGCAAAAACTGTGGGCTCATATTTTTCTAAAAATAATTTGTGCATTTTAGTAACATTTAACTCTGCCGGCGAGTAGTATCGTCCATCGTTTTTTTCCCTATTATAATGTAAAAGATCGTAGGGGGAAACTTCTTATATGATTATCTATAGTTTTAACAATATTTTCGGGTAACTTATTCGACCTGTTTAGGTGTCTACCTCGCATGTCCGGTTGGGACACAATATTGGATTTTAGAGATTTGGCAATGTTTTCTACTCTAAATTTTGTTATGCCGTGGATAGCCCACATTGTATTCTTGCAAACTGGATATTCTTATCCATTAACCCGAACCTGATAAGATAGTATATAAACATAACAGAGGCTTAATGTGTGTATGGCTTACCTTATATTTGAAAGAAGTTTCTTTTCCTTTTCCCGTTTCAGCCCTGCTCCGTCTTCTGGCAACAGTTCGAGGAATAATCAATCCAGCCAAGTAAATATCTTGCTTCTGCTTATCGCCAATTCTATTAAATTCTTCGAAAATCTTCCGAATCTTATCGTCACCAATCAGCTCAAAACATTTTAATCGACATTTACATTTTGCTCCAATAGTTCTCGCTGGTACAACGGTTCCTTTGGCAGACCTTTAATGATAAAAAATAAAATATTTCAGTACCTTATATTATGCTTCCATAAAGATGTGATCGGCCAATCACTGTGGTTTTACACGTTCTGTCTTTCTTGGATGCAACACATATTATATAGCATACGATTATGTGCACACAAATAAAAATGAAACTTCAAACTTACATGTGCATTTCTCCTTTTGCTTATTTACTTTTTCTTATATTTCTTTGCCATTTTTCTGGACAACGAGTGCGTTTTTTTCTTTTTTAGCAGGAATATCTTCACTTTTCTTCTTCACTAGCGTTTTGCTCTTTGATTTGGAGTTCAATAAAACACCCTTATCAATTCGACTGGGTCCAGGATGGTCCTCATCACTCGGTATGTATTCGCTTCCTGACGACATCTTCGCGCCTAAAATTACGTGTTACGCCGCACCGAAAACCCAACAACTCAAACGACTATTTCCAGTATACCAAATCGTTAGACCAGGCCAGTCCCTAACCACCACCGTATAGCGAGTAGGGTGCAAAAACCAGGTATCTCCTGGACTTACCTGGTTTTTGCTACCAATACTTGATCAGGTATGTGAAAATGAATATATTTGTACATTAAAAGCGTTGGATATACCTGATTTTAACACCCAACGATCCGCAATGATCTGAAGTCCCAGAATATGCCTAAACATATATTTTCGTAAATAATGGACTTACCTGGTTTTTGCACCGAAGGCTTCAATTTAAAATGCAATTTAAAGAAAAATGCAATTTTCTTAGAAGCTATTAATTTCTTTAAGTTAGAAACTTTGAACATATATTAGTGTCTTTACAATGTCGTAACAATGTTACAATGTCAAGGATATCTTAATGTATACAGTTTGTATCTTGATGTTAAGGGCGTAATGTACTGTATTACTAAGTGACAGTATACGATAGAATACAACAGAGATTTGAGCTTTAAGTAGAAGTGAGCCCCACCATGATTTTAACTCCTCCTACTATCTTTAACTTCGCCCACTATTTTGTGAATAGCTCCCTACTGCAACCAGTTTCAATATTCCAATGTCAAGAACATTTCATTGGCAACAATGTTACAATGTCAAGGATATCTTAATGTATACAGTTTGTACCTTGATGTTAAGGGCTTTTTTAAGGTCAAAGTAACCGGACATTTAAGATACACTTTGTATATATTTTCCTTTGTTTTTTATTTAGGCCTTGCGGCGTAGGTAGTATTATAGGATTCACCCTATAACGCTCCTCTGGGCAGTATCCCTGCCCTGGTTCGTCCCACGATAAATCCGATGGTGGAACCGTCTCATCCAGCTGATCAGGATATATTACAGGATATATCATATGGTATTGGTGGAGGCGTCCTATCGGCTGGTTTTGGTGGAACTGTCTCCCATGGCTCGTCTCAGGATATATCAGCTGGTATTGGTGGAAGCGTCGTATCGGTTGGTTGAGATGGAACTACCTCCCAAGGCTCGTCCCAGGATACATCAGCTGAAGGTGGTGGAGGAGTCGTATTGGCTAACTGTTTTAGAACTATCTTAGCCATCTCCCCAGGCCCGTCCCAAAATATGTCAGCTGGCGGTGGTGTTGGAGTTTTCACTGGTTTCCACAAATCCATGGTTAAGTTGTAAGAAATAAACACTGGTTTAATATTTTAGTAATGTACGGTATTACTAAGTGACAGTATGTGATAGAATACAACACAGATTTGAGCTTTAAGTAGAAATAAACCCCACCATGATTTTAACTCCTACTATATTTAACTTCGCCCACTATTGTGTGAATAGCTCCCTACTGCAACCAGTTTCAATATTCCAATGTCAAGAACATTTCAATGGTAACAATGTTACAATGTCAAGGATATCTTAATGTATACAGTTTGTATCTTGATGTTAATGGCTTTTTTAAGGTCAAAGTAACCGGACATTTAAGATACACTTTGTATATATTTTCCTTTGTTTTTTATTTAGGCCTTACAGCGTAGGTAGTATTATAGGATTCATCCTATAATACTCCTCTGGGCAGTATCCCTGCCCTGGTTCGTCCCACGATAAATCCGATGGTGGAACCGTCTCATCCAGCTGATCAGGATATATTATAGGATATATCATATGGTATTGGTGGAGCGTCGTATCGGCTGGTTTGGTGGAACTGTCTCCCATGGCTCGTCCCAGGATATATCAGCTGGTATTGGTCGAAGCGTCGTATGGATTGGTTAAGGTTGGAACTACCTCATAGCTCGTCCCAGGATACATCAGCTGAAGGTGGTGGAGGAGTCGTATTTGCTGACTGTTGTAGAACTATCTCAGCCATCTCCCAGGCCCGTCCCAAGATATGTCAGCTGGCGGTGCTCTTGGAGTGTTCACTGGTTTCCACAAATCCTTGGTTAAGTTGTAAGAAATGAACACTGGTTTAATATTTTAGTAATGTACTGTATTACTAAGTGACAGTATACGATAGAATACAACAGAGATTTGAGCTTTAAGTAGAAGTAAACCCCACCATGATTTTAACTCCTACTATCTTTAACTTCGCCCGCTATTTTGTGAATAGCTCCCTACTGCAACCAGTTTCAATATTCCAATGTCAAGAACATTTCAAAGGCAACAATGTTACAATGTCAAGGATATCTTAATGTATACATTTTGTATCTTGATGTTAAGGGTTTTTTAAGGTCAAAGTAACCGGACATTTAAGATACACTTTGTATATATTTTCCTTTGTTTTTTTATTTAGGCCTTACAGCGTAAGTAGTATTATAGGATTCATCCTATAATACTCCTCTGGGCAGTATCCCTGCCCTGGTTCGTCCCACGATAAATCCGATGGTGGAACCGTCTCATCCAGCTGATCAGGATATATTATAGGATATATCATATGGTATTAGTGGAGGCGTCGTATCGGCTGGTTTTGGTGGAACTGTCTCCCATGGCTCGTCCCAGGATATATCAGCTGGTATTGGTGGAAGCGTCGTATGGATTGGTTAAGGTGGAACTACCTCCCATAGCTCGTCCCAGGATACATCAGCTGAAGGTGGTGGAGGAGTCGTATTTGCTGACTGTTGTAGAACTATCTCAGCCATCTCCCCAGGCCCGTCCCGAGATATGTCAGCTGGCGGTGCTCTTGGAGTGTTCACTGGTTTCCACAAATCCTTGGTT